AAAAAGGCCACCCCCCCCCCCCCCCGCGTTATCCGGCCCGTGTGACCGGGGCCTTTATTTTTTCTAAGTAAAAGGATAGCATAATGATAGTATCTCCCCATGTTCCAATAGTAAAAAAGTTTTGTGGCACCTTCAAATCTAACACATTCATTATGGCTGAAGCTTTAGTGAACCACATGGACGAAGTCAGAATCAGCTCTAGTTTATGAATGCTGAAGCATTTAAAAAAAGCATTACTTTATAAAGTGCTCATTTTGGATGCCCCTGTGGAATTCTCTACATTTACAAAGTTTGGCGGGGACTACTGAGCTCCTTCTTTATAATCAGGGCTATTTTGGGGCAGGAGCGCACAGGAACGGAGTTCCGGCTGACTTCCAAGTTGGCCACGCCCAGCAGGGACTCATTAGCATAACAGGCCACACCCAACAGTGGAAACTCATTAGGATTGGCTACATTAGGGGTGTGTGGCCTAACATGCAAAGGAGTTCCTGCTACAAAAAAAAGCCCTGGGTTTTGCCAACAAACAAGGTAAACAGAATAAGAAGCAAAAGGTGGGTGTGGCTGGATGACCACACTTCTGGTAACATGGGGGCCAGGAGCTCCTTTGCATGTTAGGCCACACACCCCTAATGTAGCCAATCCTAATGAGTTTCCACTGTTGGGTGTGGCCTGTTATGCTAATGAGTTCCTACTGGGCTTTTTCTACAAAAAAGCCCTGTTTATAATTATAACATGTCAATATGAATGAATGAATTTTATTGTTACAGCACATAGCCAGCAATACATATCAATATGTATTTATGGTAGCTGTGGGTGTGGTGTAGTCCCTGGGATCGCGAAGAGTCAGACTCAGCTGTGCAGCCGAACAACGACAAATGGTATATTCAAGCCCCTGTGGTTGCAGAATAGACACTGGGCTGCATATATGCGGTTCCTCGATGCAGTAGATGAGCTAGAGCCAGAGTGATATACAAGCACGCTATTTGGGTCTAAAACTTAATGGTGGGGGGGGGTTTGTTTTCGAATCTCAATGTGCCTGCTGTGGCGTTTCCTTTCAAATGCCTACATTTCACAAACTGCTGAGGATTCCTATTTGTTACGAAGTCAAGCTGCCTAAAAGGAAAGATCCAGACCCAGTTGTATGTCATTCATTCCCTGGCCCCCAGATCCCATCCCTTTCCAGGGGCCAAACTCACTGTTAATTCGATGGGTTCTTTTTTTGGTGAGTAGTCTTTATCATCCCTTCACCATCTTTATGAGATAATCGACGGTTACTGCTGTTTTATACACTTGAACAACATCCCTAGCTTCATATCTGAGGGCTGCTCCTTGTGACAAGGCTGAGTTTAAGAGGCCTCTTAAACTTTCCTCCGTGTGGTGTCTGTACCATGCAGCGAGCGGTTTCTTGGGTACTTGCTCACCATGTGGATTGGATTTCATGAAGATATATGATGGCGTGGCCACCACACAGAGGCAATTTCTAGTGATCTCCATGCGGCAGCTGTAGTATGGAAAAAGGCCCTACTCTATCGAGTTCTCTGTTCCACACAGACACACTTAGACCGATTTCACACAAGAGCAGTCGTACCTCCCTTTGCCCTGCTTCTTTTGGTCAATTTCCCACTCAAAGCCGTGTGGCCACATTTTGACCCGCGGCTCCGCCCGATTTCCCCCGCGTTTTCGTGATCCTCAAAAAACAGGATCACGAAACCGCGGGGGAAATTGGGTGAAGCCGAGGGTCAAAATGCGGCCGCACGGCTTCGAGTGGGAAATTGACCAATAGAAGCAGGGCAAAGGGAGGCGCGACCACGGCACAGCTGTTGTGTGAAATCGGTCTTATTTTAACGGGGTGATGTTCTTTTAATAGGCAAACTGGTACCTTCTGTCAGCAGATTCACAATTCAGGCACCATTTTACTAGAAAAGTAAGCGAGGGTAGGGAGTGGCGATTGTCCCCACAATTTCCCCCCAAAATTGAAAATTCTTCTTTAAGCCTTTTTTTTAAGTACAGGAGTCACAATGTCTTATTCTGTGACCAGCATTATCCAGGTCAAACTAAATGCTCGCATAATGGACCCTTGGGGCCTTAAAATCTCCACTCGCTCTCTGCTCTCTCTCCGGTAGTTAATGGCTTGAGCGCCTTCCCCCCCCCTTCTCTCACCATAATTTGGAGGCTTTCCTGCTAATCGTGAGGACTAAACTCACAGGCTTTCTAAGGCATTACAAGTGTAACAAGATGCCCTCCTGTTGAGCAGTAAAGACTACTTGTCTGCCAAAGAGCACTCAGCCTAAAGTGTAGGGGCTGGCTAAAACCCCGTGACCTGTCAGACTGGTGCTCTCACAAAGGCGCAGCACCACATGCCACCCAGCGTTCTTCTTTCAGCCTGGGAAGGTGCAGAGTTGAATTGTCAAATTCAGTGAACGTGAGCTCCCTTTTTAGTAGGTTGCAGCTTCTTCTACGACTGTAGTTTTATGACAGAAGAAACTGCGGTGGTAATCTGACCACACTGGACCTTGTGCTTTTTGAATGTCTGCCGTTCGAGAGCTAGGCTTTCAAAGGAGCAGTGTGGTTGCAGGTGTGTGCCCCTCCCAATTCACTTATTTTCTAAACAGCCCTACAGAATTATTACAGACTAGGAAGAAGGCCCATTGTGGAAATGGAGACAACGAGCTCTAGAAACAGGCTGTGGGCAAGTGGCCCGGGCTGGAGGAGTCTTTTTAGCATCAGTTTGCCAGGCGTGCTCCGAGGCCGGCCACTCCGAGTGAAGAAGTGGCGCCTTCCAGGATGGGACGGCGCGGGAGGAGATTCGCGTTTGCCGCAGAGACGCCTCGGTGGCATCCCGCTTGTGCCCCCCCTGAAAGTGGTGTGATGCAAAGTGGGAGTGCGGGCGGCCGAGGAAAGTGAAGCAGCAGCCGGGGTGGGGGCAGGAGCTCTGTGCGGGCGTTGCTCCGTGCGGGGGTGTGTGTGTGGTTGCGAGACTGCGCTCCAGCGGCAGGTAAGGGACAGGCAGGCAGCGTGATCGATGAAAGGGGGCTCCCGGCTTGGCTGCACTTCCTCTCCCTCCCCCCCCCCTTGGTAAGCAGCCTGTTGAAGGCTGGAGCCCGGCTTGGCTGCACTTCCTCTCCCGCCCCCCCCCCTTGGTAAGCAGCCTGTTGAAGGCTGGAGCGAGGTTTTGCTTCAATTGGTGCAGCTTTGCTTCCGTGCCAGCAGAAACCTCATCGTCCTCCGTTGCAGTGCGAGATTAAAGGGAAGGGCGGAACTGAGGCAACGCAGCCACCAATGGGTAGAGGCCCCTGGTGAGCGACACATCAGGCAGCCAAAGGCTGTGGGGGCGTGTGGAACGTTCAGGCAAGAGAGACACGAAAACTCATATATTAAGGAGAGATGCCATTCCCGCCAAACACATTTGCAGAAACTCATAGATCTCCATTATCTGAACACTGGTTTTCTGAGACTTCTTTCAGTACCCTATTTAAAAATAGTGTTGTGCCAATGGCTGGTCTTCCGATGCCCGCCTCTGCTCCCCTCAAGGCCATAGAGAGTTGTGGTGACACTTCTAGACATGGCTGCTTCTTAAAGTTGTTCACCAATAAGTAACCTTTGCTCTAAAGTCCAGGCATGCTCCACTTACTGTAGACAATTGCTTTCTGAAGACAATTGACCTTTTAGCTTGCATGAAGAAATACTGTGTACCATAAATCAGCTTGTGACCAAGGACAAGCTCCTGTCTGAAGAAGAGCCTTGTTATCCTTCTGTGCATCCTAGAGGTCATTGTGAATACCCTACATTCCCATCCAAGTAATATTTTCCTGGGAGTAAGCCCCATTCCATAGTAGGATTCTGAGTAGACCTGCTTAGGATGGCTCTTCTAATCCACCAAAACTATAAAGTGATCTAGAAGCTTGTATTGAAAGGCATATCTGATAAGAATCTACAGGAGTCCTGCTCCAACGTCTTGTGTTTGTAGTTTTACATTTGTGCAACTCCTGAGATAAAGTACAAATTTCTCTTCGTGTACAATACACCCCATGCCTGAAATGTATTACAGGTGCACGTGGTAGAATATGCAAAAGGAATATGTTAGAGCTGGTTCAGACATGCCCAGTTTGACGACACTGGCGGTGCAAAAACAGACACTCTCTTTCCACAGAGGGTTTCATTTGGTTGGTTTCACTGGGCTGCCAGTACCTACATGCAGTGTTCCCTCTAAGCTGAGTTAGTGTGAGCTAGCTCACAGCTTTTTAGCCTCCGGCTGACACATTTTTGTCTCAGCTCAGGAAGGATAGCTCCAGAACACATTAATTTATGTAGCAACCAAATCACCTGCTCACAACTTTAATGCCGGTAGCTCACAAAGTAGAATTTTTGCTCACAGGACTCTACAGCTTAGAGGGAACATTGCCTACATGTACAACATTAGTCTACCGTCACTGCATACTCCTGGGCCACAAATCCTTTGTGCGCCATTTACACACATAGTTGTGCTCAGGAGGAACTCATTAGCATAATAGGCCACACCCAACAACAGAAACTCATTAGCATATCCAGCCACACCCACGAGAGCACAGCTCATATTAGCATATTAGGCTGCACCCCCATGTTACCAGAAGTGTGGTTATCCAGCCACACCCACCTTTTGCTTCTTATTCTGTTTACCTTGCTTGTTGTCAAAACCCAGGGCTTTTTTTGTAGCAGGAACTCCTTTGCATGTTAGGCCACACACCCCTAATGTAGCCAATCCTAATGAGTTTCTGCTGTTAGGTGTGGCCTGTTATGCTAATGAGTTCCTGCTGGGCGTGGTCAACTTGGGAGCCAGCCGGAACTCCGTTCCTGTGCGTTCCTGCCCCAAAATAGCCCTGGTCGTGCTGATCTTGCGTAAACGTTTTGCTAAATACATGGAATCCTGCAGTGTTCTGTGTTGCACACTCAGCCCAACTCCATACAACAGGCCCCAGAGACAGGAAACATATGCAGGAGAAGTCCATGGTGTGGGGCTATCACTCTTGTAAGTGTGGAAGAAGAAGGATTCAGGTAGAAAGCTAGACCTTGCAGTTTCATGTGGTGGGAAACGGTAAATCTTTCTAGAATCCTCTGGTTTATTCCCGAATAGTTTTCCTTCTCCGGCCCTTGAATTTTTTTCTGCACCTGCAGGGTTGAGGCTCGGAGAAATTAAGTAAATTACTTGTGGTTTCAGAAGGAGGTGGTGGCCAAGTCAGAGATCAATGTTCTTTCCTTCTCTCTCTTTCACAGGTGCTTTCCTCTTCTGCTGGACGCCTTTCTTTGTGGTCCATATCACCAGAGCTCTTTGTGATACCTGCATCATTCCTGGCGAAGTCACCAGTATTGTCACATGGCTGGGCTATGTCAACAGTGCTCTCAACCCTATCATCTACACGATCTTCAACACCGAGTTCAGGAACTACTTCCGCAAAGTTTTGCACATCTTTTGCTAATGCTGAAACTAGAAATGGACTGTGAATTTAGAACAGAGTGTCCTGTCGAGTGCAAAGAGACAGGCAAATGAATTTCTTTGCATAGTTTATTAAAGTTTTATTTCTTGCTATGTTATTGCATGTTTTATCCTTTCCCCCCCCTCTGTGGGTGAAGATAGCAGCTGCAGTGCAAGCATTTGCATTTACATGCTCGTATTTATTTAGATCCCTGCTTGCCTCCCCAATTGAAACTCAAAGTGGCTTTTGGAACATCATTCTCCACTCCTACATTTTCTCACCCCTGTGAGGTAGGCCAGGCTGAGAGTTCCTGATGGGCCTGAGGTCACTCAATGAGCTTTGATGGTGGCCCAAGGTCCTAGTACACCACTCTGTCCACCACACTATACTAGCTGCCTTAACTATTTATGACAGATACTTTTAAAGGGCTCTTTTTATTTAAAAAGCTGCAGTGGCTCAAGTGGTTAAGACGCTGAACTGCAGGCTGCGGAAGGTCAGTAGTTCAGCAGTTCGAGACCCGAGTGTGCCGCATGACGGAGTGAGCTCCCGTCTCTGGTTCCAGCTCCTGCCAACCTAGCAGTTCGAAAGCGAGAAATTGCAAGTAGATAAATAGGTACCACTTCAGTGGGAAGGGAACAGCGTTCCATGCGCCTTGGTGTTTAGTCATGCCGGCCACATGACCACGGAAACGTCTTCGGACAGCGCTGGCTCTTCGGCTTGGAAACAGAGATGAGCACCACAACCCTAGAGTCGGACTCGACTGGCTTTCGAGCGTGGAGCCTAAGGAGGGTGGGGTTTAATCCAGAGGCTGTGTAGTTGAGTAGACTGCCCACACACTCTGGAATTAATGTATGGCTCCCCCTGTGTTTAGGGTTGACAGGTCCAGATTGGAAAATACTGGGAGATTTTTGGGGGTGGAGCCTAAGGAGGGTGGGGTTTGAGGGAGGGAAGGGGCTTTAATGGGGTCTAATGCCACAGAGTCCACCTTCCAGAGCAGTCCTTTTCTCCAGGGGAACGGATCTCTCACGCTCAGAGATCCACCATAATCCCAGGAGATCTCCAGCTCCCACCTGGAGGTTGGCAACCCTATCTTTGTTGCTCATCATTGTCAACTCTAATCGAGGATACCCTTCTTAGCTTTCCCTGTGTACGCCAGGCTCATGGAGCGCAGGTACTGAGGTGTCGTTCTACACTTTGGAGGCTTCCCTCTGGAGATGCATCAGAGTCCCCAACACCTCTTTGGGTGATGCTTTAAAACTGAACTGCAGGCTGGAAGGCCGGTAGTTCAGCAGTTCGAGACCCGGGTGCTGCATGACGGCGTGAGCTCCCATCTCTGGCCCCAGCTCCTGCCAACCGAGCAGTTCGAAAGCAAGACATTGCAAGTAGATAAATAGGTGCCGCTTCGGTGGGAAGGTAACAGCATTCCGTGCGCCTTGGTGTTTAGTCATGCCAGCCACATGACCACGGAAACGTCTTCGGACAGCGCTGGCTCTTCGGCTTGGAAACCGAGATGAGCACTGCAACTCTAGAGTTGGATTCGACGGGCTTTCGAGCAAGGGAAACCTTGGCCTTTTACCTTTAAAACCATTTTATTCCCGTATTGTTTATTTTTAAAATATTTGGTATCTGTTTTATTGGTTCCTGCCTGCAGCTTTTTAGATGGGATGGGCTAGGAAGCAGAGTAAAAGATGGAGTCAAAGGAAACAGAGGTAATATTCATTTATTTATTCATCAAATTTTTACCCGGCCCTTCCCACTGTAGCAGGTTCAGGGCGGCTTACGTGGGATATTATGCAGCTAAAACAAAATTTAGATAAAATCACAACAATGTGAATATGTTGTTGTTCAGTCGCACAGTCGAGTCCGACTCTTCGCGACCCCATGGACCAGATCCCGCCAGGCCCTCCTGTCTTCCGCTGTCCTCTGAAGTTGGCTCGATTTCATGTTCGTTGCATCGATGACACTGTCTAACCATCTCATCCTTTGCCGTCCCCGTCGTCTTTGACCTTCAATCTTTCCCAGCATCAGGGTCTGGGTATAAAACATTACAAAGTGCTAGTGCAAAGATCATTCATATGCAGTGGCGGGCATGAACAGCATCCAACAAACAGGCAGTCAGTTCCCGTGGTCGTCTGGGTTATTTTAACTGTTAATAATAGTATTGATGTTAGTATTGATGTTAGTATTGGGGCCAGGGCTTTGGTTGTATGGTGCGGGTTCCTAGTCAAAGGCCTGGTGGAAGAGCTCCGTCTTGCAGGCCCTGCAGAACTGTAAGAGGTCCCGCAGGGCCCTGATGTCTTCCGGGAGCTCATCCCACTGGTACAGAGCCACCACTGAGAAGGCCCTGGCCCTCATCACAGCCAGCCTGGCTTCTCTGGGGCCCAGCAGGGCCAGACGGTTTTGGGGCCCCAATCGTAGAGCTCTCTGGTGAACATGTGGGGAAAGGTGGTCCCTTAGGTATGCCGGTCCCTGACCATATAGGGCTTTAAAGGTAAGAACCAGCACCTTGAACCGAATTCGGTATGCTATAGGCAGCCGGTGCAGTGCTTTTAGCACAGGTTGGATGTGCTTCCGCATAGGGAGACCCAACAACAACCTGGCTGCCGCATTCTGCACCAGCTGCAGCTTCCGGATTTAGGACAAGGGCAGCCCCACGTAGAATGATTAGCCCCAAAGAGTGATGAACACATGGGACTCACTGCCACAGGAACTACAAGCATGGATGGCTTCAAAAGGGAATTAGATAAGCATATGGAGCAGAGGTCCATCAGTGGCTATGAGCCACAAAGTATAGATAGGGGCTCTGGGGCAAGTGATGCTCTGTCTTCTTGGTGCTTGGGGGGGGATCAACAGTGGGAGGGCTTCTAATGTCCTTGCCCGACTGGTGGACCTCCTGATGGCACT